ATGAATTTTGAAAATATTACACTAAGTGAAAGCAGCCTGTCACAAAATGCCACGTCACATATGATCCCATTACATAAAGTATCCAAAAAGGCAAATCTATAGAAATACAAAGCAGATTAGTTGTTGCTGGAGGGCTGAAGAAAACGATTGCTAATGGGTAAAAGGTTTCCTTTATAGGTGATGAAAATATTCTGGAATTAGTGATGGAATTGATGATGATTGCACAACTTTGTGCATATACTAAAAAACCACTGAGTGGTACACTTTAAAATAAGAAAGCGAATCTTATAGTATGCGAATCATTTCTCAATTAAAAATGGGAGGAAAACTATCTAAGGATTTACTTTAGACAAACAGGAAAAGCAGTGAAATAAAATTTTTATTTTAAAGATTTTTTTGAGAGAGAGAAATCACAAGCAGGGGAATGGGCAGAGGGAGAAGCAGACTCCCTGCTGAGGAGGGTGCTAGACCTGGGACTCAATCCCAGGGTCCTGGGATCATGACCCGAGCCGAAGGCAGACACTTAACCAACTGAGCCACCTAGGCACCCTGAAATTTTTTTTGTCATTAGTTCATTAAATTTATTCTTACTAAACTTCATTTCAAAAGATAACAATGGGGGTGCCTGGGTAGCTCAGTGGGTTAAAGCCTCTGCCTTCGGCTCAGGTCATGATCCCGGGGTCCTGGGATGGAGCCCCGCATCGGGCTTTCTGCTCAGCAGGGAGCCTGCTTCCCTTCCTCTCTCTGCCTGCTTCTCTACTTGTAATCTCTGTCTGTCAAATAAATAAATAAAATCTTTAAAAAAAATTAAAAAATTTAAAAAAAGATAACAATGAAATCTTGAAGACCATTAAATTCCAGGTGGTATTTAATGAGTCACTCTTGCATTCCACAGGCAGCACCTTGCTTCCAGTATTTTCAATTGTTTTAATAAAATTTCTCTGCATTATCCTGGATTCTACTAAAAAGATACAGACTAAAGTTCAAAAAGGCTGTCAGCATCATTATAATGACAGAGCAGTTAAGAACAGAATCTGAATTCAGAATGTCTAAATTCAAAGTTTGGCTATACCATTTACTAACTGTGTAGCCTTAACCATGTTATTAAACTTCTCTGTGCTTGAGTTTCTTCATCTTTATAAAATGAAAATGAGAACAGGAAGTAAAACTCATAGGGTAGATTGAGGAGTAAATATTCTACTATATGCATGGAACAGTGCCTGGTACACAGCAAGTACTCAATGAATGTTAGGAGCTACTACTGTTAACATCTCTCTGTCTGCAGGGAACCCTAGAATATACGTAAATTCTGTGGTAGCTAGGACTTAGTTTGTAACTCTAGATAAGTAGGGTGATTCCAGAAACACCATTCCTTCACTTCTGGAATCCAATATATATCAGGTCCAAAAAGAAGAATCTACTACTGGAAGAGCATCTAGCATTATATCTTATACACAGAAGGCATTAAAATAATTTGGTGAATAAGTGAAGAGAGAAAAACTGGGAGAAAAAGAAAAAATTCTGGGAAATGACTTATCTTTTCTTCCTCTGGACGATGATTTAAAAAGGGAACCAAAGATTAAAAAGACAAATTTAAAACTCTTGAGAGTACGATAGCTCATTTCACTATAGTTATCATCAAAGGAATCAACAGAATTTTAATTATTCACACCAGTAATAGAAAATCTAGAACTTAAAAGCTTAAACACCTTAAAAGTTTTTAAATAAATTACTACAAGAAAAAAGATAAGAAAATTTCTGATGATAATATAACTGAATTCACTCTGTTCTGCTACAAGAAAAAACACAGGGATAGCTAAAGATGTTTCCTATGGAAACATCAAACATACAGGAAACATTATTTCCTACGTTGAAATGGTATGGATTGACATAACTAGCGTAACTTCTACTCGCCAGTCTCAAACTAATCTAAAGCTGAACTGTGAAAAGGGGAAAAATTGACTTTTTAGCCTCTTATTTGAAGAAATGTAAACATAGTCGTGGTGCAGGGATATATATGACCCCATTCCACTCAATGAGATGTAAAGGAAAAGACTTGTAGGGGATTTGGAGGGAAAATTTTCTTCCTTGAAAGAACTCAGTACACAAGAGAGCCTCTGTGATCCCAGCTTCCTCTTTGAGGTGTCCTATGAGAACACAAAAATCTGCTGCAGTCATGACCAAAAAGCCAAAGGGCTATAGAGATCCACCCCAGCATCTGACAACTTTGAGCTGTAAAACCAAGGTTAAAATAGTTTACTTCCATGCTTCTTGTTATTGGAGGGGAAAATAAAACTCCTATTTGTTTGTGAAACTTGTGACTAAGTGGTTTTTTGTATTTCTACAGCTAAAAGCATTTGTAATTTTTACAGATCTCCTACTAGAGTTATTCTCTAATTTTTCTCATCTTTCCTTTAATTATCTTCCATCTTTGTTCTTATTCTGCTTTCTAGAGATTTCCTTAACTTTATCTTATAACATTTATTTATATGCCTAGAGACATACAAACACACATATATTTATATTTTCTGCTATTATACTATTTTAATTATTTTAATAGCAAGAGTTCTTTCTTGTGCTCCATCAAGACTTGTTTTAGAACAGCCATGAAACAAGAATGGACTGTCTTCTCTTACCTCTGATGTTAATTATAATTATTTTCAGGTTTTCATCTGTTCTCTGCACTGTTTCTGAGTTCCTTTTGGCCATTTTTGCTATTAGTTTTCTGTTAAAAGTCTTCTTCCAATATCTGGTTATTCTTAGCTATCCATTTATATTTAAGACTTAAGAGCTCTTAAGATGCCAATACTACCCAAAGCAATCTCTGAATTCAGTGCAATCCCTATCAAAATCCCAATGTGTTTCAGAAAGAGAAAAATCTACCCTGAAGTTCATATGAATCTCAAAAAATACTGAATAGCCAAAACAACCCTGAAAAGGAAAACAAAGCTGGAGGTCTCACACTTCCTGATTTCAAAACTTATTACAAAGCTATAGTAATAAAATAGTATAGTATAAACTGGCATAAAGTTGGACATAACTTTTCCAGTGGAAAAGAAAAGAGAGCCCAGAAATTAATTCTTATATACATGGTCAAATGATTTTTAACAAGGGCACATGTCAAGCCTATACAACAAGAAAAGACAGTCTTCTCAACAAATGGGGCTGAGAAAACTGGATATACACATGCAAAAGACTGAAGCTGAACTCTTACCTTATACCATACAGAAAAATTAACTCAAAATGGATCAAAGACCTCAACATAAGGGCTAAAACTGTAACTATGTATCTTAGAAGACAGCTGAATAAAAGCTTTATGACACTGGATCTGGTAATGATTTCTTGGATGTAACACCAAAGGCACAGGCAATAAGAGGAAAAATAGGTAAGTTAGACGTCATCAAAATAAAAAAATCTTATGCACTGAGGACATAATCGACAGAGTGAAAAGAGAACCTGTGGATTAGAAGAAAATATCTGCAAATCATGTGTCCAATTAGGACTGATACTCAGAATATATAAAGAATTTCTACAACTCAACAACAAAGTAAATAACTCCATTAAAAAATGGGTGAAAAGACTTAGACATTTCTCCACAGAAGAAATACGAATGGCCAATAAGCACATGAAAAGATGCTCAACATCATTAGTCATCAGGGAAATGCAAATCAAAACCATGAGATACCACTTCATACTCATTAGGATGGCCATTATACACATACACAAACACACACACACATAAAGTAAGTAAGTGTTGGCAAGAATGTGGCATAATGGGAGCTCTTGTATGTACTGCTAATAGGAATGAAAAAGGCAGCTGCTATGGAAAACAATATAGCAATTCTTTAAAAAATTAAATACAGAATTGCCACATGATTCAGTAACTCCTCTTCTGGGTATATAGTCAAAGGAGTAAAATCAACATTACTTATGACAACAAAAAGTTATAAATGACCAACCACTGATGATATCCTTTGATAGATGAATGGATAAAAAAAAGTGCAATATTATTTAGCCTTAATTAGAAAAGAAATTTCAACCCATGCTACAACACAGATGGACCTTGAAGACATTATGCTAAATGAAACAAGCTAGTCACAAAAGGACAAATACTGTGTAATTCTATTTATCTGAGTAGTCAGATTCATAAAGAAACCAGAATGGTGGGTCTCAGTGGATAACTAGGAGACTTGGTTTTTCACTGAAGGGCCTTCACATTATCAGTACCCAGAGACCTTTTCCCTGGGCCGTGTCAACTTTCCTTAGGGAAAAATACTGTCATCTCCAGGCAGGCTCCTCTTCACAGTATATCAAGTAGTGTAAGTTCCATGTTTATTGTTTGTAATCCCATCCCCTGAGAAAAATAAAAGCTGCAGGAAGACAAATATTTTTTTTCCTGTATCGCCAGAGCCTAGAAAAGCATAAAAATAAGCAGGCACCCAATAAATACCTGCTGAATGAATGAATCAAAAATTTATGGAGCACTCCATATGTATCAAGAGTGATGCTCAAAGCTTGATACAAAAGCCTAACAGCACTATTAAACAGTAAAGCTAGGCAATTTTGAGCTATTTAAATGTTATATATTTTACTTATTAAGAAAGGAAAAACCAATTTGGGGAGGGATTTGTTCTGGAAAAAAGATATTTTACCAGGAAAAAACGTATTTTACAAAATTTGCCCCATTTCCTAATATGGTAACTAGTTTCTTAACCTCTATGCTTTCCCTCTCTCTCTTTTTTACATAAATTTTTCACCAGGGTAATATTTTTAAGTTTATACATGACTTCTCCTTTAGTGTTGACGTTTTCCAAATTACAAAATATTGCATATGATTGTAACAAGTGAAAAAATATTAAGTTTAAGAAAGATGAAGGTAATTCACCTTCCCCTTTCTCATCTCATCCCCTAAGAGAAACAATATTACTAGTACAAATACCTGTGATAAGTTCATGTTTTTATTTTCAAAATTACAACAGATAGGATACTCAATAGCTTACCTCCAGATATATTGATGGTGGATTATGCTCCCCACCAAATTTGTCCAATAGGGCTTCTATATGTTCCTGTGTCAACTTAATCATTTGTTTGATATTCCACACCTGAAAAATATTTTAAAAGAATGTAAGTAAAAATCATTTAGGATATGAATTAGAATATTTTTATTAAAATATTTTTATCAAAATATTGTAGTAACTGCCAGTGTTCTTTGAAATTTAGGGCTTAGGGAACTGTTTAATACAGCAATTTTCCCCATTTATTATTAAACATGTTAAAACTTCTTTCTACACTAGTAATACAATAAATTCTCAACTGTAAAAGACTCAATACGTAAGTATTCAGAATAAATGATGAAAATCATTTTCACGTTCCCAAAAACATTAAGTACAATTTACAGTTTATTATGTATCCTTTCCACATCTCCTTTTTATTCAAGTAAATATCATGATATATACACATACAAAATATACAAACACATAAGTATTATATATAAAATATTATTTTTAACACTTTTTTCAGTGAACAACATGCCTCAAAATTCTTTCCCTGTCAAGACATACAATCTCACTTCTTTAAAATTGTTAAGTATAGATACATTCATTTCATAATATTATAACACTGCTTATCTCAATGGTCTTCAAACTTCAACAGCAACCTAAGATTGAGCAGACATGGGTGATTTTAGGAGAAACAATTTCCAGATCTTCGATGTCTACATGTACTCTTTCTAACTGAACTGTTTTGAGAACCATTTCTCCTTTATTCCTCTCCATTTAAAATTACCACATTGTAATTCTCCGCTCTATAAAAGAAAGGCAAAATTCTTATCCTTCTCGAATCCTATTAAGGAGCACTATTCTGAGATGTATAAACTTCAAAGTAACTAACAAACAAGAGGTAAAAATCCCTTGAGGGACAGCAAGTTGGGGGGGGGGTTGATTAAAATCAGGCCTTTATCAATTAAATAAATTCTTGGCAGGGTTCTAAGCCTTATTCATTTAGCCAGCCTGCCAGCCAGCCTAGAATTTAGAAGCCAGGTGGTTATACTACATGCACATATTACATGTTTAAGATAAAGAAGTCAGTTCTTTTTCCTTGATGAAGAACGAGCCCAATTTATCTGGGTAGAGAACATGTTTTGCAAATTATACTGTATGCTAGGTACTCTATGAGTTTTATGATCTAAATCTGGAATTCTAAGGTGTGACTAAATATGAACAGCACAAATACAATACACACTAGAAATTATGGCCTTTTAAACAACTGCTATAATTTTAAAATGTGAGATAATTAAAAATGTACAAGAGGGAATAGACAGATAAACAAGGGGGTTTTAGGACAGATGGTTTATTTAATAATTCCCTTACTAGAGGACATTTAGATTATTCCACTTTTCTCAACTTCAAACAATGCTTCAATGAATAGTTCTGAGCTGCCTTTCTGGGAAAAGGTACAAGCTTCCCTTTTAGATACCACGGCATAGGATTCCTGAATTGAAAGTTATGTGCATTAAAAAATTTAATAAATGTGTCAAATCGTCTTCTAAAAGAAAAAAGGTACTAAGTCATAGCCTCATTAGGAGGGTCTAAGTCCCCCCATAATCTCATCAACACTGGGTATTATCAAACTCTGAAACTTCTGCCAATCTGAAGGGGAAAAGGTGATCTTGTCGCTTCAACTTCTATTTCCCAGAAAACTGAACATTTTTCATGATCATTGGACATTTACATTCCTTTTTGGTAAATTCCCTATCCATATTTTTTTAATTCTATTTTTCCTTGTTGATGTACAGATACCCTTTAGTCTAGATATTTTATATATTAATCCTTATCCTCCTCCAAATGCGGTCCAAATTTTAAAATCCAGCTCTGTCCCCTCAACTCCAGACTCTTTTTGTCCAACTGCCTACTGACCATCTCTACTAAGAAAACGAACAGATATCTCAAAATTAACATGTTCAAAGACTAACTTCTGATCTAACCCACAACCCTCCCCAAATTTCTTTTTCCTACTGTCTCTTTATCTCAGAAAATGGTAATCTCCTTCTATGATGAGTTCATTGACCACCCAGGCAGAACAGCTTTATGATCAGAATTTGATATCCTAAAACTGATTATGTTTTTCACGTCAACTAGCGGCTCTGAGATCAGAAACATATTCTATTCATTTTTTGTCTCATCACTAATCTTGAGTCATAGTCATAAACAGGTATTCAATTAGTACTAAAATTCAAGCTGTCTTTAGAAAACAGGAAGAGAGAAAAAATTAATCCTGCTTCAATGATTCTTTCCAGTCCAGCAAACTGAAGACTTTATAACCCACAGCAACCTGTTCCCCCGCCCCTTTAAAAACTCCATAGATAAAACTCATATGCAGTTAGGGTAAAGAACCACTACCCCAAGGGATTGGAGAAAGAAAGGGGAAAAAAATGGATTAGCAAAGGAGAATGAGTATGAGGAAAATGAGGGAATGGAGCTGATTAAAACTAATTGGAATAAATATTTTTGCTGGGCAGTAGAAAATGACTGATATGGTGACAAGAGGGCAGGGCCAGACCATGAATGTCCAGATATAAGACTTCTTATCTCCTCAAACAAAAGTAATTTTATATCCAAAAAATGAAGAAAAATCACTATGAGCCCTAGTTGAAATTAGATTCTTTCAGATATCCCCAGAAGAGTAAGAGAAAGAACTTGGATGATACTTATAAAATAAAAATATATTAAAAAGTAGAATAAGGAAGGGCGCGCGGGTGGCTCAGTCATTAAGCATCTGCCTTCGGCTCAGGTTGTGATCCCAGGGTCTTGGGATCGAGCCCCACATTGGGCTCCCTGCTCCACAGGGAGTCTGCTTCACCCTCTCCCACTCCCCCTGCTTGTGTTCCCTCTCTCGCTCATGCTCTGTCAAATAAATAAATAAATAAATAAATAAAATCTTTAAAAAAAAAAAAAAAGGTAGAATAAGGGGCGCCTAGGTGGCTCAGTTGGTTGAGCATCTGACTCTTGATTTTTGGCTCAGGTCATGATCTCAGCGTCCTGAGATAGAGCCCTGCAACTGGCTCTGTGCTCAGTGAGGGGGTTCTTCTTGGGATTCTCTCACTCCCTCTGCACCCCCCATCCTTTGCCACATATGTGTGTGTGCGTCCATGTGCTCTCTCTAAAAATAAGTAATTTTGGGGGCACCTGGGTGGCTCAGTGGATTGAAGCCTCTGCCTTCCAATCGCGTCATGATCCCGGGGTCCTGGGATCGAGCCCCACATCGGGCTCTCTGCTCAGCAGGGATCCTGCTTCCCTTCCTCTCTCTCTGCCTGCCTCTCTGCCTGCTTATAATCTCTGTCAAATAAATAAATAAAATCTTAAAAAATATATTAGAAATAGGGATCTTTGAACTTAATAAAATACATCTATAAGAAACCTGCAGCAAAATATCACAGTGAAAGGTCGGGTGTAAGACAAAGGTACCTGTTATCACTGATATCATACAGAGGAGGTTATAGTTAATAGTATGGAGAGCATATAAAAATGGACATAAAAATCGTAATAGTAGAGATAAAAATTTATTTGTAGGAAATATGATATCTATAGAAAAGCCAAAGAGAACCTAGAAACCATTAGGGCTAATAACTAATACTAATAACTAGTATCTATAAAAACTAATGTAGAATTAGTTTATCAAGATGACTGGATATAAGATGAAGGAAACAAACATTATATAGTATTCCAATGCATAGGCCAGACCCAATTAAAAAAAGATGCCATCCAGGGTGCCTGGGTGGCTCAGCTGGTGAAGTGTCTGACTCTTGATTTTGGCCCAGGTCATGATCTCAGGGCTATGAGATCCAGCCCCATGCTGGCCTCTATGCTAAGCATGGGTCCTGCCTAAGAGTCTCCTTCTCCCTCTCCCTTTGCCCCTCCCCAACCTCCCTCTCTAAAATAAATAAATAAATATTTATTTACAAATTTAAATAAATTATCTAAATAAATAAATAAATAAAATGGGGGTGGGACCCATGGCCTTCACAATAGCAACAAAGACCATAAAGAATCTAGGTATAAATCCTTTTTAAAAAAATATTATTTATATTTAAGTAATCTCTACACCCAATGTGGGGCTCAAACTCACAACTGCAAGATCAAGAGTCACATGTTCCACTGAGCCAGCTTAGAGCCCCTAGGAATAAATCCAATAAAAGATTTGCAAGACCTTTGTAGACAGAACAAGAAAATAATATCCAAATGCGTAAAAGAAGATTGAGAAGAGAAACTCAGAGGACTCCGGAGGTTAATTTCTTCCTCTCAGTACCTATCAACAAGTTGACTCAGCAGGTCTGAGTTTACTTGATGCAAGAAAAGACTAATGAGAGACACAGAGCTCCCTTTTCTAACAAGGCCATTTTATCAACCTCAAAAGTTCCAATTATTACTGAGGAGCCCTTTCCCTGGTATATTAATTCTAGTTATGTCTACTCTAAGTACACATCTATGTGAAGATAATAGAGCTCGGGATTGTGTGTGCTCTGGCACTTCCTGCTTCCCACTAAATCTTATTTCACATTTATGCTGTGTGATGCATGTGTGCAGGTGCATGGCCCAACCCTTCATGTGACAAAGACTAACAAAAATGCCCTTTAGTATGAAGACTCAGTATCATAATAATCTCAATTTCCCCCAAATTAATTCAGTGAAAGACAATAAACAAAATCCTGAGATTTTTTTCCCCCATGGAATTTGGCAAACTGATTCTAAAATTCTTACAAAAGCACGGTAAAATGATAGCCTTTTAACTATTTTAAATAATGAGAATAAGAATGTACCATATGTACAGTAAGACTATCCATGTTTCATAGACTATATAATAAATAATTCTGGGGTAACTGGCTATTCTTACAGAAAATGTCAAATAATCCAAAAGAAAAATGTGCAAAGGATTTATGAATAGGTAGCTGAACTAAAGAGAATTCAGACTATCCAACAGATACATGATAAAATAAATGACCTCATGGGGCCCCTGGGTGGCTCAGTCGGTTGAGCGACTGCCTTTGGCTCAGGTCATGATCTCGGGGTTCTGGGATTGAGCCCCATGTCAGGCTCCCTGCTCAGTG